TAGATCTGCCATTTAATTGCATTAATTATATATAAAAGTATTTATGTCCAAAGTTGATTGGACCTAGGACATAATACTTACAGTAATATGACAAAAATATTAGACGGGACGAGGGTGTGAACGACCAATCCATTCATACCCTTCCCATTACCCTCCTTAATTTATAGCTTTGAACATGGACATTCAACCAAAAGCCATAACATTTCAATACAAGGTTGTAACTTTCCAAAATAAAATAAGATTCATAACATTTATAAGATTCAAAGGCTAGTATTATTACTAATTTATTTCTCTTTCCTTCAATTTATTAGAGAAAAAGAAATAACTTTCGATCAAAAGTCTTTTAATTTAGGAAAATTTGTAACTTTTTGTTCACAATTTTTAATGAAAGTAACGAATCTGCTTCTAACGTTTTTTTAAACATTTTAAATTGTGTAACGAAACTCATCGTTCCTTCCTTTTGATCTAATGGATTTGTCCAAACACGGAAGGATGTTGGAGTACAAGATAGGGCAACAATATTCTTGGAAAATTGGCCGAGAAATTAACATGGTGAAGGATCTGAAATTGAATGGATGGCTTAGGCAAAGCCTTCAGTTGGGGTTTAGTTGGATGCAAGTTTATTTTATTCCTTTCTTTTTAGTTTCTTATTAATTTTAACTAGGGGAGGGTGTTTTCCTCTTTCATTATTTTAGGATTTAAATTGCTACAATTTTTTTTAAACTTTGTTTCATGAATATTCGTATTCTTTTGTTAATTTTAATAAAGAACTGTAGTTCTTAAATCCTCATCTTTCATTTCCTCCATCAAAACTTGTATAATGGTGATTTTGCCTTCCTTCTTAAGTAAACAAAATGGAAGAAAAGGAATAAAGAAATAGTTATAGCCAAGCTTCGAATCGTTTTAAAAAGTATAAACAAATCTCGTTTAAAATAATTAAATACATATTTAAGAAAAAGAAAAAGAAAGTTTCATCTTTCCAACCAATCCCCACCTATCCCCTCTCCACCCACACTCCCACTTTTGGCCAAGCACCACCGCCGTCACATTCAGCACCACCACTACCACCGCCAAAGCTTCTTATTCTTCAATTTCTCCTTCATCATCTTCTTCCATCCACTCATCCTACCTATCCCAATCCCACTACAACTACAACTTCAAATTGCTATCATTGCCATGCATACCTCTCTCAATTTATCGATTGTCTTTTAGTACTCATTTTCTGATCTCCACTATTCAACCCCACCCGCAAAACTCATCAAAATTCAATTACAAACAAATATATATTGTACAAAATTTTTTCGCCTATTCTGATCCAATTAATTCTTCAAAACCATGATTCATGATATAATTCATGAAGTTTTTGAAAAGCAGGTGCAACTCAATCATTAGGGCGGAAGCAAAAATAAGCAACGAAGTGATTAAATAAAAATTATAATTCAGCATCAAAATCAAGTATAAGTGACAAATTTAATGTCCAAATTGAGATCAATGGAATTCCTAGATGTGTATATATAACAAGAGTAATACTATTCAGCACCACTATATCAAAAATAATCTAGATGGCAATTGTATGACATTAAATAATATATTTATATAAATACTGTTAAATGATTCATTTAATTGAACTTATTAAGTGTGGTCACTTAAACGGATGCTAAATAACATTATTTATATAAAAAAAAGTGAATTTGATGCCCATAACATTGAGGCCATCTTTTACCAAAACCCATGGTTAGCACTTTTCAAGTTTGTGATGCAATGGCTCACACATAGAAAACACTATTTTGGAAAAATATTGGGCACTATATTTTTTACCAGTTCAATCCATGTAACATGCCAAAAATATAAATTTTCTTTTTGGGGAAAGGGAGTTGGTAAGTTAAAGGTAAAATAAAAGAAATTAAGCTACTTGTACAAATATTATTTTATACCCTTGATGACAAATACCGAGTTCAAATCAAGAATTAAAATGCATGCAGTATTAGTATCTGTCAAACAACTAGTAAAGAAAATCGTTAAGTAGCAAAGTCCAAATAAAAGTATACAATTTGTGATGGTGGTGGGGGTGTGGAGGGTAGGAATGGGTGATTGGCCAAGGGTGGTCGTCGTGTGGAAAGGGGGAATGGGTGCAGGGTGATTGGCCAAGGATGGGAGTGGAGGTGGGGTTGGTTGGAAAGATAAACCTTTTCCTTTTTTTTAATATATTTTTACTTTTTAAGTGAGATTATTACGAATAATTTGGAACTGTGGCACAATTATTACTATTTTTAATTAAAGAGGATAACAAATTCATCATTTTATAAGATTTTAATCGAGGAAATGGATGGTAAGGATGTTTCAAGCAAGGTTTAATAATTTCGAGGGCTCAAATAATAAATTGAAACGATATGAATTATTCACATAAAATAGGTAAATAATATGTACGTTTTGCATCAATTACCCCATTCATTAGAAATATTCCACAATGAAATATAAATTCAAAATCAAAATGCATTTCATGCATCACTATATAATTTTAAATGCATTTATCGCTTTCATATTCAATGAGTATCTTGACAATTTACGTGACACTAAGTGCCTGCTTGTTAAAAATGTTTGTTTGTTACAAATCGGGTAAAATCTCATTTTTATCGACACACAATTTTCATCCACGTAGCAATATAACATAACCTTTAAATCATGTGAGATTATAACCTAATTTATGTGCAAATCAAGTATCGAATGTCTAATTTAAACACCTAAAATACAATATTAAACATCAATAACATAAAATACAATAAATTATTTATTCTAGGTATTTTTTCCAACCTAAACATTATTCAACCTTAAAATTAGTTAAAGTTATTTGTCGCGTTCACGTGTCCATTGCCATTTGACGTTTCCCAAGTCAGATCAAGTCAAGAACGAAACTTAATAATGGCTAAGTAAAGTCACGGTGACTCACTTGCCCTCCCACTATCTTTCAACATAAATTCCACATATTGACGCGTTCGTCTGTTTCCAAGTAAGTTACAAAAAACATTTAAAAAACGAAAAGGGTTCGATCGAATCTCAACACGGTATGAAGAAGTCTAAAAAGTTGTTACAATCGCGGGAAAATTGTTATGACTATGACTACTTTATTGATCGATTTGTCTTTATAATTAATTCTCATATTCTACAGAATAATCGAATCCATAGCAATAAGGGTACGACTATTTCAAATAAGCATCGGTTTGGCCCCTATTAATTTTCATTCTATTTTTCTCTCTTATATATTCAACCACACAATCTTTCATAAAATAATATCACATGTAAATCGAAAATTTTTTCTTCATTTTTAATGACTCATTTTTCAAAAAAAATAAAATAATATTCCATCCATTTTTATTTCTATAAAATGGGGGCCAAACGAGAGGTAAGTGTAAAAGATAATTGCAATTGTGGCTATGACATAACCGAATCAATAGCGTTCAATTTGGATATGACTGTTTCGAGGAACTGTAGATGATGGTCGCTATCGTGACCTGTTGATGTGGCTATAGCTATGATTACTTTATTGGTGTATTTGTCTCCAATAATTAACTATCATCATTCACATCCTATGAGATAAACAAATTAGGAATATGCTATCTTTACATAATGCGAAGTTTATGACGTTGTTCATCCCCCTTAAATGAAGAGAGATCCAATCGAATAAATTATATTTTATTCAAAGTGGGTCTTTTTCATACGAAGGATGGATACTTTGATGTATGTGTAGCATAATCCAACGAATTAATAATAATATATTTAGGTACAAATGTATCGCAAAATAGGATAGAGGTTTGGAAGGTGACTACAATTGTAGTTGAGTTGCAATGGCTATGATTATTTTACCGATCTATTCGTACGTAATTAGTAATTCTTATTGACCACTTTTTATGAAGTAATTCAATTAATCGAGCATTCGAAACCAAATTTAATATTAATAAACCCATATTTGTTTCTCATTCCATTGCATTACATTTTTCTCTCTTCTATTTTTAATCACACAATCTTTCATAAAATAATATTACATTATTTCACTCTTTTTTTTTATACTCATTTTTACAAAAATAAAATAAAATTATTCCACTCATTTTCATTTCAAAAAAGAAAAAAAAAAAAGAGGTCAGTGGCTAAAATAATATACAAATTACAAAAAATTGGTGGCTCGTATTTTAATTTTGAACGGCGGTAAATTTGCTTATTTAAGCTCAGCCAAACACTCACCACCAAATCCATTACAAACTCTCTCCAATCGTCCGCACCGTTGAAAACCGCGTTCCCCAATGCTATCGTGCGCCTTTCTCCGGAAGTAAACGTCTAACCCATTCTACGCTCGCACTACAAAGTAAATAAATCGATCAATCAAATTATACAACTCTACTCGGTTTCAGTTTGATTTAACAAAAGAATATGGGTGGAGGTGGAGCGCAGTCGCAGCAGGCGGATCCGACGGAGGAGCAGTATGTGAAGGCCAAGGTTTCGGTGTGGTGGGACATCGAGAATTGCCAGGTGCCGAAGAACTGCGATCCACACGGGATTGCGCAGAATATAAGTTCGGCTCTTGTAAAGATAAACTACTGTGGGCCTCTTTCAATATCAGCGTATGGTGATACCACCAAAATATCCCCCGCCGTTCAGCAGGCGCTTAATAGTACCGGTATCGGCCTCAATCACGTCCCTGCAGGTACCTATCTATAAATATGTCTCTGGACGTTTGATTTATGTATGCGTCGATGTATTTATGTCTCAAGATTTGTAAGTTTTTTTGATAAAATTTGTGGAGAGGACTTGAGATCCAGTTAAATTCGATTGATTGAGATGGGATGGGTGAAACAATGGTATTGGGGATTAGTTGATTCTACCGGTTGAGTTGTTAGTCTCAGAATTTTTTAGTTTGGGTGGTTTAATTTTGTTGATCTTGCATTTCTAGGACTATGCGGCTGGTAATTATGTTGGTTTTTTTTATTTTTTTATTTATTTTTATTTTATAACTGTGTGTCAAATATTCTAATCTTGATGAGTTTCGTGTGTCAGATCGGAGACAGAGTGAGTCAAAGGAGTGAAATTAGGCAGCCATTTTTTTTGCTTATGTGATTTCCTATATTAAATTTCAGTTTTTAGCCTGTAGATCTGTTGACTTTTGCGATTTTCAGATCTATTGACTCTAGCCTGTGATTTCCTACATTAAAAATTTCAGTTTTTAGCCTGTAGATCTGCTGACTTTTGCGGTTATAGCGTGGTTATGATGGTGTTGCGAGAGATAATAATCGTGCCATAGATTTTTACATGTGTTAATGAGTTCATCTGGCGTCACGATCTAGTCTAATACTTTCTCTTTCTCTTTCTCTGATTACTTTTGTGGCTGCATGCATTATTTTGTGGCTACTAGATCTTTGGTCGTGGGTTCATGTCTCGGTGCAATCCAGAGAAACTTTTATATGTGATTGATAATGTTCAGTGACGCCATTCATGGGATGTCATAGGTTTTATATGAACTAGTCAAAGTTGAACGTGTATTGCACGTTATTCTAAAATACTTTATAAGTGATGTAAAAGTATATTTGATATCAATTTGTTGGAGGATTTGATGAGTCTCAAGCGAATTAAAGAAAATCAAATTTAGTATAGAAATTTAAGAGAAGAAAATTGTACTCTCAAAACTCAATTTTTATGATTCAATTTTTTTGTAATGAGGAAATACTATAAATGAACAATCTTTTTATATTACATTTGTTACATAAAAATTAATTGTTAAAACATAAATTTAAACATACATTAAAATTTCTAGATACATGAATATGAATAAATTAATCTGTAACAACTCTAGATTCATATAGTTCAAGATTTATTAAGTGAAAATTCATTGAATCTGAATTACATGAATCTAGATTAATGTGAATGTTAATTAATTGAAAATTAATAATTCAAATTTCATAAATGACAATAATTATGTAGTATTTATTACATATCGAAAAACGAAAAATAAGGTAATATTGAAATCATTGAATTGTAGGGAGGTTAAAATTATCCAAAAAATGATTGTGATATTTTAATATTCTATAGATTAGTAACTGCAATAGATGTTTCCACTGCATTTTTTTATGAATTTCTTCACGTTTTTATATATCTATTTTAATTAGATTATTGAATTTACAATGGTTAGGTGTTAAAGATGCTAGTGACAAGAAGATTTTGGTGGATATGTTATTTTGGGCTGTAGACAATCCTGCACCCGCTAATTTTATGTTAATTTCTGGAGACCGAGATTTTTCAAATGCTCTTCACCAGTTACGCATGCGTCGATATAACATTCTTCTAGCTCAACCTCAAAATGTGTCAGCACCGCTTCTTGCTGCTGCAAAGAGTGTATGGCTCTGGACAAGTCTATTGGCTGGAGGGCCACCACTTACAAATGGTGATTCTGCTCAGTTTCTAAATAATGGTTACGATTTCTCTGGCTCTGACTCAGACTCATTACAAGTTCCAGTTACTAGTTCTGTTAATGCAAAGCAGCCTGTGGATTCTTTTCATGAAAGTCCCCAATTGGGAAATCAAAAGTTCTCTAGTATGGGAAGAGGGACTGGCATAAAACATAAAGGAAAACAGATTCGTAAAAACACATATCAACCTGATATATCAAGAAGTGCCACAGGGATTGAAGAAGATCATAACAAGGCCAACTTCCGTGAAGCGACATATGGTCACCCAATGCAGTTGAATGATTCCCAGGATTTTTCCGGTTCTTATAATCCTAAAGTTCCTTTAAGTGGACCGGGACCCATTCCTAATTTTACTTCTGGTAATCCTGATTTTTCTTGGAGTAACAGCAATCACGCACACAGTTTGTATCAAAACCACTATCCTCAGCCGCCAACTAGTTTGCCATCAACTAATCAGCATTTGCTGCCTCATTTAGCACCCCGCAGACCTGATGCATCCAGCTTTACTTCAGGTCCTCCAACATATATACCTGATATTGGTAATTTAAACATTTCTGAATGCCCCAGAAATGATCACAATCCTCCTTCGCAACAATGGAATGGAGGAGAGAGAAGACCAACTTCTATGGAGTCTGCCAACCATGTAAACGGAAACAGTCCCCACAAAGGATATAATGCGCAAAGGAACCCTCCATTTTATCAGGAGGTACAGACCAACGGGTACCCACATGGCAGTCAAGAATTTCTGCCACCGTCTTTTGGAATGGGAACCACTAGTGTGTCTGGTAATGGTCTATGGGGGACACCAGGATGCCCACAACCTTCTGACAATATTCAAGGCCTTATTGGGGTCATTCTGCTTGCTCTGAACACACTTAAAAATGAGAAGATTATGCCGACAGAGGAAAACATTGCTGATTGCATTAGATATGGAGACCCCCGACATCGTAATACTGATGTTAAGAGGGCTATAGCGAGTGCCGTTGAGCAGAAAATGGTAGTGCAGCGGAAGTTAGGATCTTTGCAGTTGTATGTTAGAAAGAATGAGAAACTATGGCAATGTGTGAACCCAATGGCTGGTAACGCAAAGCAGTACCCAAAGGTGATGTGGGACGAAATCCAGAAATTTCTATCATCTGCTGCTGGACGATCTGCAATACTTGGTACTCAGTGCAGGTAAATTACAATCAAGTTACGTTTTGCTTGTATGTTATTTTGATCGGCCTGCAATCTATTTCTACTCTATGGATAAATTATTTTGCAGTTAATCTAACTTATGTTCCTCAATTTCCCTCGTCTACTCTTTAGGTACGAGGCAGCTACAGTAATGAAAAAGATGTGCTTAAAAGAGCTTGCGTTGGGTGAAATACTGCAGATTTTGCACATGGTAATAAACATGAAAAAGTGGATAATACATAATTATCAGTCAGGATGGCAACCAATTAAGGTCACTCTTACAGAGTCCAACCCTGATTCAGGGTGGGCATTTACTCAATAAGCTCCCAAAGAACTAGGTATGAAGGGTAGAAGGGCTTGTAGATAGTTGTCAATTTGCTGCATGCTCCGCAAAGTGGTTTAAAATTGAGCACTGGTTATAATTGGCATGGCCCGTTCTTCCCTTTGAATATTTGGCAGCAGAGTAAATAGCTCTGTTGACATTGAGAGGATGGTGGTGTATTTAGCTTGGGACAATATTTTTAGTAGCAGCAATTATCATTTTTAGCTTTTTTTCTTGGAAATCCATGAAGTACGGCTTGGCAAGAGATTGGGGTTGAAAAAACCACTGAAGCTTTAGAGTTGTAAAACTGCCATTGGTTATGGCATACAAAGATCAACATTATAGGAAGATATGGTACTTGTTATCTGGTAAGCCAGCTATAATTAAATGTTGAAATTCCCTGGAAATTGCTTAATATGGCTCTTCGGTGATTGAAGCTATTAAAGAGAGACACTTTGGAGAGTCGCAGCTTCTTTGCTTAATTCTTTATGTGCTCCTTCTATTGAGCATATTGATGGATTAACTTTTTGGAAAACTATTTTAGGAATATAATAGATGCTTTCCTAATTCATGATATGAATCTTCAAGCTCGTCAGTCATGAGGAAAACCAGGAAGTTCATATTTTGTGCAAGTCAGGCAAGAAATACGTGTGTGATGATTTGGAGCAATAATTTTGGGCAATACGGTGAATGTAGAATATGGCAGAGTCTAAAG